AGGATTCATTGGGTAACCATTGCTTATGGTGTAATTGGTCATGTGACTTTTTCTATTCACATTTCCATCTATACTATTCCATTTTGGTTTGAAATTAGGGTCATCTGTACAAAATATGAATATCATAATTTATTTAGATGTCATTAAAGTACAAACTATTCTATTAAATTTAATTTTTTTAAAGTTTAGTAGGTACCAATGACGGGATCTGCCCATGGTTTCCCATGAATTGATGGTGATGTGTAATTTGGTGGATTATATTCCTTATAATCAACGGTCCAGGGCACTTTATCATCAGGGACGGCAAATCTCTGTATTGTAGATCTTGGGTATGTACCACAGCGAGCTTTTACATGTTGTAAAATCATAACTGAATTCGTGTTGACTTTTATTATTAAAATAATGTAGATTAAGTAAATAAAAAGCATTAAATTACAGGAATTACAAGAATATAATTGGAAAGTTATACATAAACATTGAAATGTTAATGTCAATTTAATAATGACAGACATACTGATTAGTTGTAAGTGTTGCCATATCGCGTCATGAATTAGCACAGTTTTATTCTTAATCTATGTTCAGTGGCTGAAATCATTTTTTACTTAAATGTAGCTCCGCGGGTCATTAAAAAAGAAGCCCGTGTTCTTCCAGGCTATGTTCTACAGCTACGCCAAATTTCAGCTAGATCCATGCAGCCGTTCTGGAGATACCTTCTAAAATCCATCCATCCAAACATCACATTTACAATATTAGTAAGACGTTTTGCCCCTCATGTGCTTTACTCTCTCGTCTATTTACAAAAGCAAAACCAAGTTTTGAATAATTGCTTGTTCGTAGCTAATGCTCTAATAATCAATTAATTTCTCCAACTCTATATTCCTTTATTATAATTCAAAAATAATAAGACAAACAATATGTCAAACATTTTATTTATAAGTCTTTCTCTGAGAAAATAAACGCTCAATTAAATTATTCTTAATAATAATATTTGCGAATTCTAATTTCGCCTCCGCGTCCCCTTTCGTGTCGTCGGTTTTTTGAAAACGTCATCGTCTGTTTTCTTTTCAAAATCGTCATCATCTAAAAGATAAAAATAGAATAACTTTTTAAAATGAGCTGGCAAATCAAATTAACAATAGTTTTTATATCACCCTATTTTGAAATTATAAACATTCTTGAAACTTAAGATATAAATTTACATTTACCTGAGTCTTCTGAATCAACCACTTGAGTTTTGTTCTTTGTGGCAGGTTTCCTTCGTGATTTTCTTAAGGTCTGCGGTGTTTGCGGTGGTTTGTTGGGTGGCTCATTCTATAAAAATTATGTTGAATACAAAAATAAATCTGTTATTAACGTAAATTGCTTTTAAAGAAAAGTATAACAGTCGGCTAAGATGTACTGTCGAGGAAGTTTGTTAACGCTCTTAACGTTCGTGTTAACGCTCGTTCTTTGACGCTCGCTCGCAATTTGAGAATTTGTTAACAATATATTTGCTAAACTACAGCTTGATATTGACAGAGTTTTGTACGATAATCGACTCGAAAGTGAGAAGCGAAATAATTTTTTTAAGTGTACCTCCTCATCAGAACTGGAGTTGGACCGCCTCCTGCCGCGGCGGGGCGCCTTCCTAGGTGTGGGTTTAGGGGCTGCATGCTTGTCGGCGCCGTCGCTGCCGTCTTTGTCACCTTCCTCCGCGTCCCGAACCGCGAAACATTCTTCTATCTTATCTCCCAGCTCTGTTACTAATGCCTGTTATAATGTGTTTATTATTATTGAGCTCTGTCAGCTTTTATTTGACTCTTGCAAACATTTAGAAATACTGCCATAGCCCAACTCTAAAACTTGTCAAGTGAAAATGACATTTTTCGCCCTAAAAATTGAGTTTGTTTTTATGTGAAGCTACGTAGATATAAACATACCTTTATTTCATTCTTGGCCATTTTGGATGTGTGGTTCATTAGTGCAGTGAAGGACTCCATGACTCCGGGGCAGTGCAGCTTGTCCTTATAGCAGTCCATGTTCTCTATCAGCTTCCTGAGCGAGCGCTCGTTATATGTGAACAAAGACAGACAGTATGCCAGGTCTCGCCATTGCCTTTCTTCTGTTGATAATTTGAACCGCTGACATAACTTCTCTATGAGAGCCTCCATTTGTCTGTCTTTCTGTATAAGTGATGTTATGTATCTGAAAATTGATGTTTTTTTTAATAAGTTACTTTTAATTTATAGCGTCGAAAGAATGTACTGAATGGGTGCAGTAGTTTTAAGTTTTTTTCTTTTATAATAATACTTAGCTGAATACCTACTTCATGATATATCTGTACTGTTCTTCAGGCACTTTTAATTCTGGATCACTGAGTCTTGATATAATGTCTGGCATAACATTATAGAGGGCGTTGCCTTTCTGCGACAGCTGCTTGAAGAACAGGCGCGTCATGGCGGTGACGCGAGCGTCCTTGTCAGCGCAGCACAGCGCCATGTCCGCTATCTGACCTTTGACGCGCACCATCTCGTGTAGTACTAAGAATGACAGCATCTTGACAGCGCATTGACGCACCTCGAGTTCTTCGTCACTCAAGCTGAAATATTTACAATTAAAGGAATAAGGTAAATGAGAGAGCCAGACGCGGAGAAAGAAAGTGAGGGAAATACACCCTCCACTATTTTCAGAAGTTATAATTTTTTTAACTGATTACTTACATATCGTAAATATGACGAGTCCAAGGTTGCGTAAGATTTGGGAACCGTAATGTTAGATCTGCGAAGGCGATGGTCAGGTTTGTTCTCAACGATACATTCTTAGATTTCTTTAGAACTGTGACGATAAGTTGCAGACCTTCTTCACAAACACTGCTCGACACCAGCATAAATCTGTTATTTAAATAAATAAGGAACTTACGAAACGAATATTTAAAGATATGGCTTAAAGTTAGACTACAGGGTTTTATGATAAGCATGAGGTCAATGGGATAAAATTCCCTGTAATAGACATATGCACCTGGTGTATGTGAGCGCGGCGGCGGCCTGCGCTTGGGGCGTGGTACGTGCGGGGTTGCTGAGAAGCCAGCGCAGTAGCGGCGTGTAGCGAGCCAGCGCAGCACCACCGGCAGCCACGTCGCGCTCGCACACCGCGCGCACGTACTCCGCGTCCGCGTCGTCAGCCACCGCGCCCTCCAACCCTGCCTCCTCCTCCGTCATCGTTGTGTTCACCTACGGATATATTACCATACCAAATCATTAAAAAATCTCTCGCAATATTGGAGAAGAAAAAAAGAGGATAAAATCAGAAATGAAGTAACGCAACATCTCCTTCCTCTGAATTTTCTAATCGAGGGTCGGTAAAACATGTTCTATCAACCATGACATTGGAATTCACTCCCTTCTCTCATACATTCTTCTTTAAATATCTTATGAATCAACATATCTTAAAAAAGTTGTGTATTACCGTAGAGGCTTTATTAGAGAGTACGCTGGCGGAGCGCTGACCGCGCGAGGAGGCGCTGGCGTTGCTGGCATTCATGAGCGTCTGCCGGCGCAGGTCGTCGCAGCGACCGCGGCGGGCGGGCGTCGCGAACCCCACGCCCGCTTTCTTCTTGCGCTTCTCCTCCGCCTTCCTCTCCTCTCGCACCTGCACAATCACAAAGTATATACAGAATATCTTACAGAAAACTGAGTCCTTTATTAGTCACCATAGTGCCGGTATATGAGCCGGCGAGAGGCGCTGCTGTCGCGGTTGTTTCTACCAAAAATATGTTAAACCAATTGAAAGAAGGCGCTAGTAAGCCCACCGTCATAATCCTTGTCGCTTTATACGCGATACCTTTACTTAAGTTTTTTTGACACTGAATTAACATTTCGTCCAAATGTGCTGAAATAGAAAAAAAAATACAATTAATACACGCTTGTTACCTGATTGCGTTTCCTAAGCTCGCTGTAGACTGTAATATCAAGATATATCAGCTGTTGCAGCGCAATATGACCCAGCGTGAACACGAATCGAATCAGGAG